TCTTCGGCTTCTCTGCCCTCCTTTATTTTTTCCCCCCTCCTGCCAGTTCAGCCTTTCCGAGCTTCTGCTCTGCGAGCAGGTGGAAAAGGTCCGCTTGCCCCACCAAGAGGAGGGGAAAGAGGTGGAGCTGGCGGCGCGAAAGCAACAGGTTCCTCGACGACCGGCAGCCTCCTCGGCGCCTGAGCCCCAGCCCGGACTTGGCCGCTTCCCTCTACAGAACTGGGTGGCTCTGCTGACACCTGCCTGGCGCAGCGCGGCAGAACCGGATCCAGCCCCTCGCCGCCTGTGGGGGGCGGTGGAGAGAGAGAGAGGAGGGCAAGGGATTCCCTCCCACCGCTGCCGCCACACCACCTTTCTTACTCGGACTTCTTCTCTCTTTTTTTCGGGGGGCCGGAATCCCAGGGTGGGAGGGAAAGGGACGGTGGCACCTTCCCGAGAGTGTTGTTGTGTTCTGGTCCTCTCCAGCAGCCGCTCCCACCACCTCCACACACACCCCGCCGCCGCCGCCGCCGCCCAGTTTGGGAAAGGAAAATGACCGGCCTGGCCTCTCTCCGGAGGGAAACAAGTCAACCTTTGTCCAGCACAAGCCACCTTTCAGAGAGAGCTGGCGGCTGCTTTGCAGGCTCCCCTCTGTCTAGCGAGGTGTGTTTATTCGGCCAGAATAAACGGTGCCCACCCCTGCCCTGGCAACCTGAGGGTGGAAAATGTGTAGCAAAAGACGAGACTAGGGGAAAACACCGAGGACTACTAGGCGCAAGGACGACCCTAATTCAGCAAGAGGGGCAAACGTGGACTCTGAATATACACGATGTTTCCTTTTGAGCCACTGACTCAGATGTCAGCTGAGCACGTCAGAGTTCAGTTGTCCCAGTTTTTATCAGTCAGCGGGAGAGAAAAACTTGGCTGCCCTTGGAAGGGGTGGGGGAAGAGATCAGGTCAGAGGGAGGTGCTCAGAGGGATAAATTATGTTTAAATTGTGTAGAACGAAATGGGTGGAAATACTTTCTTTGACTTCAGTGGGCTTTGGTCTTGGATTGGACCCAAAATCTGAGGCAGTCTGGACAAAAATAGAACATTACAGCCCAAGCCCAAGTGTGTTTACACAGAAGTAAGTCCAACCAAATTTGAATGGTACTCAACCTCTGTGCAAGTATGGGCAGGACAGCAATCTTAGGGAGGCCTTTGGTCTCTCAGCAATTTGCATGCAGGGTATGAGGGTGTGAAGGCAGAGTACACAAGGTAGATGTCCCAGAAAAATAGGTCACTCCCTGCCCTATAGAATATTGCCCCAGCCCAAAGTATTTGCAAACGAGTATTTTGCACTGAGTCGAACTACTGGCCAATGGAGGTCTGTAGGATCCACTCTGGGTAGCAGCTCTTAAAAGTCAGGGAGGGAAAGAGGTATGTTACTGGCAAGGCTGTATATCAAACCTGGAAATGTGTACAGTACAAGCAAAGCATATGCTCTACACCAGGGGTGTCCAACCTTTCACCTTCCCTGGGCCACATTAGAAGATGAAAATTTGGTTTGGGCCGCACATACATTTGGTTTGGGCCTCTTGGGGGGGGCAGCCCTAGCCGTCCTCCACAGCCCCGCTCCAAGCACGCTTACTGGCAGCTGCGATCTCAGACAGCAATTGCCAAGAGGAGGAGAAGGCAGAAAGTCAACTTGCAGCAGCCCGCTTCTCTAACTATTTCTCTAGACCTGAGCTAGCATATTTTTAAGAGGATGTTCCCCCCCTGAGTAAAGTGCATTGTATGATGCGTCTCTAATTTTCAGTGCTTGTTACCAAGGTAGTTGGGGACTGCCTGTTTTTCTAGCAGTTTCTTCCTTGTGATAGGTTGTTATTGAATTCTATATGCATGCAATTACAATGGCAATTTAATATAAGCCTCAATCAAGTTAGTGCATTCCCACTAAATGGTACTGATAAATATATATCTAATTGAGGCAGAGAACTTGAGATAACTTTGAGAAGTAGCTGGCTTCTGAGACAGCGAAGAAGCCACTTGTGTATTCTCTTTTAAAATCTTAAACAGAATAACTATGGGGATTATTTTCTGCAATCTGATACCTTAATTTCAGCATTGTAAATTGCTTTCTATGTACTGTATGTCTATATTACACTTTTGACATACTGTCCAAAATCTATCTGGGGGAAAACGGCATGGGTAATACAATCATGTAAGCAGTTTTCTTCTTTGTCCCCACCCCACCCTGTAGCCAGACACACAATCATTTATGTGGTCAGTGGGTGCAGGTGTGGACGAAAGTGTGACAGATGGATAACGGAAGAGGTAGAATCTCTCACTTATGTGACTGGCCCAACTGCAAGAGACACTACAATTCTGGCTACTGTATATATCTAACTTTCTTGAAAGTTTCTAAACTTTATTGGGAATAAGATAAAATATCTGGGTGGATAAATCCTTGACCAAAAAACTATTTAGTCGGAAGAGTTAATGTCACTGCCTCACTCCAACATTTTCAAAGTACTTCACAGGAAGAACTCATGGGAAGGCAGCTCCCATTGCACATTTATATCATTGTCAAAGATATATTAAGCTTCCTTAAGCAATTCCAGTCACATGGGGGAGGGGAATGATCTGAATGCAGTTTTGGGGAAATACTTGTTTACATAGTGCAATATAACTATTAGACCACAGGCCAACTATCAGCATGCAGTAGAAAACATGAAGAAACTCGCCAAAAAATTTCAAAAAAGGGGTAGAATCCAGCAGAAAACCAGGCCCAATGAGCGATGTGATAGTGTCTGTGTTGGGGGGTTGCTATCATCCTCCAGATCAAAAACTTGAGGGGGATCTTGAAATGAGGAGACAAATCAAGTAGGTGTCCAAAAGAGATAGGATTGTAATGATGGGGAACTTCAATTATCCTTGCATTGACTGGGGAGGGAGGTGAAAAGTGGTGTACCCCAGGGATCTGTCCTGGGACCGGAGCTTTTCAACCTGTTCGTAAATTACCTGTAGACAGGGATAAGCACTGAGGAGGCCAAGTTTGCAGATGACACCAAACAGTTCTGGGTGGTGAAGACCAGAAGGGATTGTGAAGAGCTCCAGAAGGATCTCTCCAAACTGGGAGAATGGGCAGTAAAATGACAAGTGTATTTCAGTATAAGAAAATGTAAAGTAATGCACATTGGGACAAAAAAATCAGAACCTTGTTTATCAGCTAATGGGTTCTGAGCTGTCTGTGATGGGTCAAGAAACAGATCTTGGTGTGCTGGTGGACAGCTTGATGAAAGTGTCAACCCAGTGTGCGGCAGCAGTGAAGAAGGTCAATCCCATGCTAGGCCTCATTATTTATTTATTTATTTATTTATTTATTTATTTATTTATTTATTTATTTATTTATTTATTTATTTATTTATTTATTTAT